CTGGTGGTCCTGCTGCTGCTGGTGCTGCTGCTGCTGCTGCTGATGCTGCTGCTGCTGATGCTGATGCTGCTGCTGCGGCGGCGGCGGCTGCTGCATCATTGGAATTCCCTGTTCGGTATAAATTCCCTGTTCGGTATAAGTTCCCATCTTTGGCTGCTGTGGATGCGGCGCATTGTACACCGGTGCTTCCCGGTAAACCTCAGGCGGTACCATCCTCTGAACGCCGTAGTACGGCTGACCGACGTGGCCGGTCACGGGTCGAATCGGCGGAGCCTGATACATGCCTCCTGGAGTCTGAATTAGGTAAACCGGTTGTTCCGTACCGGTGGGAGCCGCCGTCGCCATGTGATAACCCCCGGCGGTCACGTGCCGTTCCGAGACGTAAGTAGCAGGGATTGGTACCGGGACCTGGACTGGAACCGGAGCTGGAGCCGGCGCCGGAGCCAATTTCTCTGGAACCTTCTGGTAGTAGTCTCCGGTGTAGGTCCTAGGGTTTCCGACCTCCTCGTACTTCCTCTGCAGCATCGCTTGCTCTTGAGTTGCGATGTGCAACCTCTGAAGTTCCTGGATCTGTCTCTGGATATCGGCCGGAGACACGACCGGCTCCCCGACCACGTGCCGATCCTCCGATCCACAGTCCGATCCAGCGGAAACGTCCTTCGTGACGATCGAGTCGGGAACCGTCGGCGGAGGAGCGGAATCCGAGTATTTCCCGGCCGGAACCGCGGAGTATCCCTTATCGAATCCAAACAGAAAATCCGGATTTTGCGCCGAGACCGCCGCCGCAGCCGCCGCCGGAGGGGACGAACCTTCAAGAGAAGGGATCTGCACGGAGTTCAAGGCGTCGACGAACCACTGCCGGTCCGATTTGGTCTCGCTCGATCCGTAGCTAGTCTCAGAGGACGGAGGAGGGTTCAACGGAAAGAGGAATAGCCTAAGCCTGGCCGGTTTCGCGGAGGCGCGGTAAAGGCGGTCGTACTCCATCATCATATGGTCGAGGTCCTCGTCGTTGGTGACGGATATAAGGGCGTCGAGGTCTTCACCGGGAAGCTGATACTTGAAGTAGACGTCGGCGTCGCAGATGGAGGAGAGCTTGGCGAGAAAGGCGGGGAGCTTGATGGAGCGGTCAACGGCTAGGATCTTGGTGTCGCCGCCGACGTAGGCGAGCTGGTTGTCGTGGGGGCGGGGCTGGATCTTGCCGCCATAGCTGCACATGAATTTGGCCTTGAAGGAGGAGGAAGGCGGCTGGGGCTCGTCCCAGGAAGCGTTGTCGCAGTCGATAATCTCGCGGGAGCGCGGCGAGGAGTCGCGGGAGTCCGGGTAGGAGTAGTTGGAGTAGTTCTCCATTAGGGGATGAAGAAGAAGAAGAAGAGAGCAGCCGAAGAAAGAGGGTGGGTTTTGGGAAGTGGTTTTATGGGGGGTTTTGTTTGTTTGATTAATTGATCAGTGTTTGGAAGCCATGGGAGGTGGGGTTTTGTTGTTGTTTTCTTACTTTCCGGTGGAGTACGGCGGAGAGAGAGAGGAGAGAGAATATTGCACAGCAAAGCGGCTGGGTTATAAGGTTAAGCTAAAAGCTAAGCTGGTTATCGAAGTGAGTGTGGGACCCACTTGAAATGGGGTTTGATTTAGTGAGAAGGGAAATGATGGAGGCGTAAAAGGAAGACCAATGACTGTGTGAAAAAAATTTTTACGGATTTTTGTTGTATTTGGTAAAGTTTTTTTAATTATTAATGTTGATAATAAATAGAGAAAGGGTAAACATTACCCTTTTTTTGTCGATCTTTTTATTTTTTTATTTATTATTATTTGTCTCATTTTTTTATTTAAATAATAATATATTATATTAATAGAGTATCTATGTTAAACGAGACATGCAATAATAGGTCGAGGCTCGTGGGCCAACACAAGCCCATCTTGACACAGTGACGGGCTAGGTCGGCATGGCCCGTCACTGTTTAAGGCACGATTCATCTCATAAATATTGATGGGCTAGATTGGACTAACATATATCGACACATTGACTTGCCCGGCACGACCCATGAAAAATCATGGGTCAGGTTGGGCTGGACCGACCCGTCTAGGCCCATGATGAGTCGACCCAGCCCGACCCGTCTAGGCCCATAATGGGCCAACCCAGCCCTGCTCATATAAGCTCATAATATCTATATGTTTTTTTTTCTTTTTTTTATAGTAATTTTGTAAACATTTTATGTATAATTATCCTGATTGTACTCTTTTTTTCTTACTAAGGTTTTGTCTTATTAGGTTTTCCTTATAAAGGTTTTTATTTAATGAGGCAATCGTAAATAAAATATCTCTTTTCATATTTCCATTAACTATTCAAACTTTTATATTTGTTAACTTGTTTAAAAATTTTAAAATTAAAATTAAAAAATTAAAAATTACATGCTTATATGGGCGGCCCATCTAAACCCATTTATGGGCCTTTAATGGGCCAGCCCATTCAAGGCCCATCCTGTCCCACGGCACGGCCCAGCTTGGCCCGCGTAAAATTGGCCTGTGGTGTGGGCTCGGCAAAGGTAATTCTTATACGGACCTGCCCGGCCCACAAATTTATAGATTGGGTCGGCCCAGCCCACAGCCCGTGTGGGCTTAAGGAGAACGGGCCAGGGCAACCCGTTCTTGCATCTCTATGTCAAACAGTAAATACAAAAGTGAAAGAGAAAATGAGTGACAGAAAGGGTAATTCAAATGAGTTTAAAAAAATTTGTTTTGTGCGAAATATTATTTCTTTGTTATTTTTTATTATTTTTTAAGATACATAGGTTTTTATTGTTTATTGGAAAACCAACAAAAAATGAGGGATTTCTCTTCTCTCTCTCTTTCTCGTGAGGCGGCTAGGATTTGTTGAGGATCTCTTTTTAGGCCCAAAGCTTGCATCGCCGCTAGTTGGTCGCCAGACTCTTAGCCTTTGAGACAGTGGATGAGGTCGTGCAGCTGTGGTTAGTGGTTGATGGGCGCGGTACATTGGCGATGGAGGCTTATATCTGGTAAGTTGGAGTTTGGTTTCATCATTGCTTTGCGCCTTGACCCCTTCAGATTCGATTTCTTTGGCTTTCATACAATAGTTGTTGGCTTGTTGTTGGCATTTATTTCTATATGGCTGAGGCCATTTGTAGGTTTCATAGTGTTTTGTTAATTTTAATAAAGGCGTTGTTTGCGTTAAGTTCATGTATTGTAATAACAAAAGTGATTTCTCTATTTCCAATTTGTTTATGTGTCCCACCTGTCTGAGATGGTTATCGATAGTATGTGTGTTTGTGTATACTAGATTTATTTATAGGTCGTGTTGTTTATGTCCCCAGCATTAAAGATTTGGTCTTTATCCATCGACTGTAGTTGTTCTAGTTAACGAGTTTTAATCGCGCTTGATTTTGTTTGGCTGAGCAAGTCTTTCTCTATTGGGTCTCGACACCTATATTCGTATTATACTTCATCTGATTTCACTGGTAGATTCAGTAATATCTGGGGTCGAATTCCTTTATAGGTTATGGTCATTTACGACTATTTGTGTAATTTGTTAATTTATTAATAGAATTTTCCATTAAAAAAAAAAAGAAGAAGAAGACAAAAGTGTGGGATGAAGATTTGAGCTTAATTAGTGTATTTATGATTTTTTTTCAATTACGTTTAAATTTGGGATATTTATATTTTAACATCACGTGTTTTAAGTTTATTTAAAATCTATATTTTTAGTTTTTTATCTCATCAAATGTATACATTCAAATTATATTTAATATACAAACTTATATCTCATCTCGGTTAATAATTGATTTTGACTTTTAAAATGACTAAACATCCCTGAGAAAAAGAGAAAAAATAAAACTAAAACTTTATAATATTATAAAAAGTTAAAAATTCAAAATTTAAAAAACACATTTTAATGGTATTTTGCAAATTTTTGAGATCAATACCGTAATTTTAAGTTTTTTAATTTTCTTTTTTCTTTTTTTTTCTTTTTTATTCAATGTCATTTTAGGTATTTTAAATGTTAAAATTGAGAGTTAACTGTAAAAAAAAAAATATACATTTAAATATTAAATCTAATTTAAAAGTATACATTTAATGAGATTAAAATTTGAAAATATAACTTTTGAATAAACTCAAAACATAAATTACAAAAAGGTAAATATTCCTTTAAATTTCTTTGAATTAAAAATACCTTTGGTTTTTTTTTATGAAGTAAATATTAGGCCCGTTTAATTTGATGATTTAAATTTTTAATTTTAGTTGAGATGTAATTTTATGTGAGAATTTTTTATTATAATAAAAATTTAAATATGATTATTTTTAAAAATATTTTACTATAATAAATTTAAAATTTAAAATTTAAATTAATAAAATAAACGAATTATTGTGAGTTGAATTGTTCCAGTACAAACTACGCTAATTGCAAGGTAAAGTCAAATCAGTTAAAATAAAGAGGGGAGTCGGAGATCAAACAAAATAAATAAAAAAATGGGGAAAGTCAGAGCAGTGTGCGCTTGACAAAACAAAACAAAAAATGTTTGTTTAATATGATCCATTGATAATAAAATAGAAGATAATATTTGATCATTTAGTACGTTGTCTATTTTATTGTTTACATGTGATAACATACTATTTGAGTATTTAACTACGTTATTAATTTATTATAGGATAATAAGTACGTTGATATTAGTTTTTTTTTTTTTTTTTTTTTTTTTTTTGAGAAGCAATATTAGGCTTTATATAAAATCGTTTTTAATCCCTTCCAAACTCCTTGAGATACAATAACATTATAACTCTGAAACACAGTTGAAACCCCCAATCCCGGTCGTTCTTGACATCAGTCGGTCCGTGCCTCCTCGATCATTTGCTACCTTTTTTTTTTTAAAGTGAGAAAGCCAACATTTGATATGGAGTTATTTTTATATATGGTAATTGTGAATATTTATTTCGAAGACCTTTTGAAATACCTATATCAAAGATCTTATTTCGCGGCCAAAGTATTAATTTTAAGACAAATTGTGTGCATCTGGAAGTATTTTAATGTAATTGGATCTAATTATTTCAATGCCGTCCGATTTTTTTAATCGGAAGGTTGAGAATGCATTCTCATCATCCATCCACGGTCGAGTGCAACAAAGCCATTTCCCTAAAAATGCTGAGGTTTTTTTTTTTTAATTTAAAAAAAAAGTCTCACTTATTTATATATATAAGCGTATATATGAATAATTTTTGAATAATTATATCTCTATCGATAGTCACCCATTAAATATAATAATTTAATGTGTGACGTGATAAGAATTTAATTTCATTAATTATAATAAATTTTTTTATCCAATTACCCAACATTATTACAACCACAAGATCAATATCTTATAATAAAACAAAAATACTGATCAATTGATAAATATTAAAGTAATCATTCAAATCACATCCGTGTGTGTATATATATTTTTGATGAATAACTTATTTCTATATTAATTCAGATAAAATGTGTAGGATGGTGCTAGAGGTAGGTGGTGGGTCGAAAGTGGACACTCCTCTCCTTACCCAAATGGCAAATACCACACAACTCAAACTATAGGGAATTAGGCAATGACCGATTATTGCATGTTTTGGACTCGTATTTATTAGTGTACAACTCACAATCGGCATTTGAATAATTCCTTATCACGTGCTTGTACATGGAGACATTGCGTTTTTTTATTTCATTTTCCTCCTCTTGATTTTTTTAGTAATTTGTGAGGTATGTGAATAATTCCTTATCATGTGCTTGTCGCGGGCATATTTGATTTTTCCTTTTCTAATGAATATTAGATTTTTTTTTTTTTTTTTTTGAGGTGGAATTACTCTCATGAGTTAGATTCGGAGTTTGACTACGACTAGACTAAAGTCTTTACTGGGTTATTTTAGTAATAAAACATAGTAAGGCTAAAATATGATATTGGAAATATACAATTATTATTTCGTCACTAAAGTTTTTATTTTTGGTAAGATCAATGCAGCACTTTATTTCTTTATTATCTTTGTTTTGTTTTTGCAAGCCAACACTTTTCATTCATTCACACAAGCCGAGACAAAATGATTATCAATTGCCTTTATAATTTTACGGTAAAGTTAAATCAGCTAACGGGAAATAGTCTGACCTTTTGTGAGCCTTTTCAAGTATTTATACCCCTTTATCTATTGATTCATAGGGTCCCATAAGAAAGTTCAAAGAAAATATGGAGCTGCATTCCCATTCCGCCATTCAGAAGTTTTAAACGGGCACAAGAACTTTGGCTTTATTGTGACTCTTGTAAAACGAAAACAAAAGTGTGACTTTAGGGAGTTTCTCATGTAGGATTAAAAAAAAAAAATTATTAATATTTCACACTTTTAGTCATTATATTTATATCAGAAACTGTTTATTTTACATAATTTTTTACAGATTCAATAACTGCAAACCGATTCTACCACTAGAGATGTCTTACCGGAGTCCATTTATATAATTTGTCTTCACAACATTATTGTATTATTTTCTATTGAAACGAAATTCATGATGGCAATTCTTACATCCACATTGTCTTGTTTGCTTTTTTTTTTTTTTTTTTTTGAAAAGGGTTGTCTTGTTTGCTT